AAAAAAAAAAAAAAAAAAAAGGATGCTTTTAGGACCAAGCCACATTATAATGAGGTTTTATATAATTATAATTACTATTATTGCTACTTTTCTGGTGTATAAAATGTATTCATGTCTTCTGACTGTGCAGGTCTTCCAACATATTATTTATGGTAATAACCTAATTTAAATCCAGGTATTCACCTTTCTCGTATGCTCCAGCTACTCATGATAACAGGTACATTTATAGTCCCATATATTTTCCTTAGATGGCATCCTATTAAAAGGTAACAATTTAAGTAAGAGTTTCCTGGTTTTTATGTGTTTTTGGAAGGGAGTGTGTTTAACAATGGCTATTTTATACTAAGATACATATCTAAATGTATTACAAAGGTAATGTTATCATGATTGTCATGTTGAAGTATTTTGTGTGTCTCCTGATTTACAGGTTTTTAAAAATCTGTTAATATTCTACAGGAATTCAACTACTAAAACAACCATGATTGTTAAAAATAACAATCCTCTAATTACATTTTAGATTCCAAAGTGCTTGTTATCCAGGTAAAACTGTAATAGTTAAGTTCACTACCCCTGTTTTAATGCTAATGTTATCAATCTTCTCTTCTCGGGGTTCAACCAGTAAAGTCCAGAGATCTGCACTGGAAAGGCAACTGGGCTAATAAGACAGCCAATATTTTGGCCCTGGACCTCCAAGGTCAACAAAGATCCAGGACATGAAGGATCCTTTTCTATATTTTTGGTAAGTCATTCAACCTCCTGAGCAGGGAGATTGTTGGACACCAAAGCAACATTTGCAGTTTGCCAAAAGAATGTCACTTGGAAGGGAAAAAATTTATCCCATGCTTTCACAAAAAGCAACATGGTCAAGCAAGGTATGACATCTTGATGACTGACACTGACAGGAGTTGAGAGGCTCTACACATGCTTCTAAGATATTGCTGGAGGAGACCAAGTTGACCTTGGTAGACAGCAAGAAAGTTAATTTAGTTAATATAGGTCTCAATGTAACTTGGTCTTAAACACTCAGTAGAAAAGTATAACTAAAGATATGTAAAATCAAGAACATAGTTATATAGCTAGACTTAAGAAAAGGCTCCAATTGCTGACAGTTTCCCTGATAAAATGATAGCTAACCACCATTGTGGGTCATTGGATAAAACCATGATGAATTTTATGTGAATTCAACTATAGTTTTTAAAATATTTTGGCTCAAATTGTTTTTTGAAATTATTAAGTTTTTAGTCTTTCTGTAGTTACAATTAAAATTATGATAAAATATCAGATTTAGAAATAATCTCCATTAGCTGGGCGTGGTGGCTCATGCCTGTAATCCCAGCACTCGGGAGGCTGAGGCAGGAGGATCACTATGAGTTCGAGACCAGCCTGGACTACATTGTGAGTTCCAGGTCAGTCTCAACTACATAGTGAGACCCTGTCTCAAAGAACCAAAAA